CGTGCGCAGGTGACGCCCTCCCGCTTTAAATTCAATAAATGTCATAATTATTCACGGGTATAGTTCCATTGTATACAATTTCTACTGTACACATTCTAGGAAAACACTACGCATTGTACTTGTTTTGTTATCATATTCTCTAGTGGAGAAATGCAATAACTTGTAACTGTGCGATAAGAACACATCTTATTCAATTTCCAAAAGATGTTTATGGTGATTAACATGGCGTGAAAAGCGCGTCGTCCCTTAGCGTGTCGTGTTACGTGTATAGAAAGAATTACTTAAGCAGAGTGACATATCTCGCGTGTATATATCCCCAAATGACACAACTCGCATGTTATTCAGAAAATAACTATAGCTGACCGGGAGTTGGTTTTGGCTGTACTATTTCCATTAATATTCGCAACTGTGTTTAATAGTGTATATTCACCATGTGTGACATACTTACATCCTCGATTAAGGTTCCTTAATACATTTTAACGATTTTGTTTCTCTATATTTTGCGAATATATTGCTTGTTGCTATTCACGGTCATATGTGAAAAAAAATTTCATCGGCCAAATTACTGAGAATAACGTGTAACTACTGTATGTGGACTACGGAGTTATAACATGAGATTATGTGAGGAAAATTAAAACACGGTCCATTCAGTTAGAACAAAAATCGTTGCGATGTTAATTATCTCGACTATCCCACTCATCATCATCGCTCGTCAATTGTCAAAATAAATACAGTGCAATATGGAAAGAAACATATATATATATATATAATATTTTTATTCGATACTCCATATTGTAGATCAGTGCAGTGATTGTTATTGTACGTACCAAAACGGCTCGTGCACATTCATGTTAGAAACGAAGTTATAATAAATGATAGTCTAATATATTCATCAATATACAGTACAAAAGTGTTCTCGTCCACACTTGTGATTATGCAAATTACGGTTATACAATGGGCAAAAATGTCGTTAATCAATATATATATATATGAACATCAATACACATGTGCAGTAATATCTATATATATAAAGTGTTTGCAGTCCGGCGTCGTATACCAAGCGGAAGTTACGCGTTTAGACAAGCACACCAGTGAAACGTACGTCGGACTTACTGGTAATGAGTTCAAAACAAGATACAGAAACCACACGGCCTCATTTCGCAATCAGGCCTCAAGAAATGCTACAGAACTAAGTAAACACGTCTGGTCACTCAAAGAAAAAGATATTGAATATAAAATACAATGGAAAATTCTTGCTCGCGGTAGCCCGTAT